GGAACTCAGGTGACAGGGATGCAGACTCAGAAACAAGTCACCCTTCTCCGGTGCGCACGGGGTTAGATCAGATTCCCACATGCCTCGTGGGGAAGAACTTCTGGGCACTACCGAGTCTTAGCACATTTTCAACGAGTCTCATTTATTTACTTCTTTCCTGCGTAAAATTCAGTGATTCGTCACTTACAGGAACTTCATAGCCTTTGAACTTTTTTCATAAAAGTGGTGTCAATCCACAGCCTGTTCTATGAACTTCTTATTTACTTTAATACCAGATATGTCAGTTGTCTGCATAATAGTTCACTATGCCTAAGAGAGCTATGGGTGTGGGCATATCTTTAGGTGCTGTGAACTCACTACGCTCTTTTCCTTTCAACTATTTCTCAATACGCTGCTCAAAATTACACACGGAAATTTCACTTTCTCGTTTCTAAAATGCACACCTGTGTTTCTCACTTCAAAGGACAGAGGCAATGTCCTCAAGTTCACCTCAGGGAAACAGCTTGATTTATACCCCAAATTTATTTTAAAGCAAGTTCATTAAAAATCTATTTTTATATCGAAAGTACTGTCAACCTATCCATTTCAACCCATTTTCCTGCTTCATTAGGCTTTTATTAAAAATGTGATCTTTTCCTGAAAGATGTACTTCTCCTGAACAACTATGTTTTCTCTTCAATTTTTAGTCATATGAGGCTCTTTACAAAGACTCCCTGATTTCAAACATTTGGGTGTTAACCCAACGGCATATCGTTTACTCTTCACTCGTATTTTCTGAACTGTAGAAGCTAATATTAGCTTGACCATTTGTATGAATCTTTATAATTAGGATTGGTCCATATTTTCTTTTTCCTTTTTTTTTATTGTTTTCTTTTCATATGAAAACTAGGTTAAGAGATGTCAATGATTTCCCAGTTTGTGTGTTCCCTCCATAGTAAATTCCACCAAATCTCTCCTTTCCTGGAGGTTAGAAATCCACATGGAAGGACTTCCTCAGGTCTGGCCTGTGATATAGTGGGGACAGAGGTTTCCTTTTCAATGCAAATAAAAGGATTTACTATCCCTACTTGAAACCTCACCAGATTGCTAGAGTTTGTCCCCAAACAGTGAGATGAGGATGGAGACTCCTCCTTCTGGGCACGCGTCCCTGACCTGCCTCCAATTCCCCAAAGCCTGAGTCCACACCCTCCTGTACCCTGCCCACCCCCACACGCCACAGACTCGAGTTCCCTCCTGTTGAGGGACAGACAGACTGTACCTCTCTCTCTTTCTAGACAGAACACGATAGATATCAGTACATATACACTTGATTATGTATTTATATTATATCTACTATTATGCAAATAAACATGGTTATAAAAATCCATACATATAATCTATGAGTGTAAAACAAATATACATCTATATCCATTTATATGTATCTGCAGCCATTGGTCCTCATGCCCATCATCTTCATCCCATAGCTTTTCACATGTTTGTAACTGTTCTTCCTGTCTAGATCCACACTGCAAGCAAGGAATAATGGTGTTCATATGACCCAATGACTGAACGTCTTTAGGAGATACATATTAATTTGTTTGATGTAGATGTGTGTTACACATCTATCTATCTATCTACCTACCTATCTATCTATCATCTATCTCTCTATGAGTCTAGCACCGTAGGTATTTCTAACTACATGAAGAATGAATTAATGAACACACCCTGAATGAATAATCTAGGCACAGATTAAAAAGCAGACCCTGAAGAATGGGAGTCGGTTGACATGGAGCTAACAACCCTGCCCCAGACATTGGCCCTTCTGTGCTCCTGACAGTCAGGAGCCCCTGACACTAGCCCCTCGCCCATAGACGCTGGCTCCTCAGCTACTGAATAAGTGGGAACTATCATCTGCAGGGACATGAGCACAGGAGGTTTGTGTCCCAGACTGAACAGAGACATACAAGGACATGATGATTTCTGTGTTGGGAGGCTATTTTTCTCTGCAATCCGGAGCTCCTGGGCCATGGCTAGAATCTATCCAGAATGACTCAGAAGCAAAGTCTGAAACCAAGTAAAAACAAGTAGACTGAAGGAATCCAGCGAGGAGAGCAGAGAAAACTCTCCTAGTGCAGAGAGGGGCTAGGTCAGAACTGTACAAAAACTGCATAGGGACAGGTTGAGGGAGATAGAACACAGAGCAGAGGGCTGGCCGCACGGGGGTCTCCAGCTCCTTCCACCTGCTTCCATCTTCCCTGCAGGAACAGCTGACACCCTGAGCCCACCCCAAAACAATTCAGACCCCAGCAGTGGTAAGTAGAAGAATGTCTCAGTGATGGGGCTGGGATGGAGGGGGTGTCCTGTCAGGGGGAGGTGGGTGTCCTGGGTGGACATCCAGGATCTGGGTGATTTGGGTCCACACTGACCTCTGCAACCTCTCTGTCCTCATTCTTAGCCTCAGATCACAGGGATCACACGGTGGAGAATCTCATCCGCATGGGCGTGGCTGCTTGATCCTGCTGGTCCTCGGGTTTCTGCTACTAGAGGCTCAGCACAGCCAGATAAGGACCCCAGATGCAGCCAGGAGCTAAACACAAGGGGGAGCAAACACACCATTCCCTGTGGCAGACCTTTGGACATCAATCTGATGTGCCTAAGGGGATCCGGAAGAAAGCCTACAGCTCATGCTAGCTGATCTGTGTGCTGAGCACATCCAGGGGGAAACATGGTTTAGATGCCAGGAAATGTCTGGGCTGTTCTCAGTCCAGGACTCGCCCCCCATGAACTGTGGTGCTTTCCCTCCTGCCGTTGTTGGACGTCCTCGACTGCCCCCCTGTCTTTCCCCATCACTGTGGTGTGAGGGCTCGTCCCACACAGCAGAGGTGCCTTCATACCTTCTTACAGCAGCAGCTCTGGTCCACCTTCGTGGGATACATTTTCCTTTACTTTCCATTTCCTCTTTCCCTGGGGTACACTATGGACCTCCATCCCTTCACCCCAAAACACAAAATCTGTTTTCATAAGTAAATAGGTGGGTGAAAATCAGGTCCGCTATGGAACACATGAATCCAAAACCTTTCCCTAAACGCTCTCTGGACTCATAGAGCTTTCCGCTCTCATGCAATGACACGTGGCAGAGTCTTCCAGAAATACCATCAGTTTGAGGGAGTTCAGGGGTGTTTGAAGTGAAGCCTGGTGGTGAGCTACTATACCGACTCCAAGATATAAATGTGTGTGTGTGTGTTTTTTTTAATGTTGTGGCTCAATGCATTGCCCATTTCTTTGTTGTGAACACTCCCGTCATGGCCAACATCAAGGAGCCGCACGAATGCACCGTGTGCCCAGTCATGGAGTCATGGATACAGCATCTTTCACAAGTGAGTGTGATCCAGCTGCAGGGGCACCTCACTGGTTACCCCGACATGCACCTGTGCTTCCTTCTATTTTAAAGGTCCTGGTATTTTCCACCTCGATGTAATGCCACAGTTTCAGGGAAACTGTGATGCCCAAATCCTCCTGCATGCACAGGAGAGGCAAGAGAACACAAGGGCAAAATCCAGTGTTGGAGAAAATACTGTGCACTTAGACTGCCAGTCCATTACATTACAAACAATTTGAGGAGAAGATCGGAATCCCATGGTGAAAGCAGGGGACACAGCTCTGGCACATAACTCCACACCCTAGAGGAAACTGTGTGCGTATGCACGGTGACACCTGCAGGAGAATACTGACAAGGCTGTTGCTCTGTGTAGACAAAGCCACACAAATAAAATTACAATTAAGGAATGTTTGTGTTACGTGTATGTGATGGAATATCTTATGGCCAAACAAAGCACAAATTAAAATACCAAGCAATCGTATAAATCACTTTGGAACTAAACTGAAAAAAAAACAAGGGAAATTTTAAGAACCACGTGTGTAGAGTTATTCCATTATATACATAAGTTAAAAAAGAAGCATATATTATTTAAGGAGGTGAAGTTATGTTTAAGCCTATAAACAAAGGAAGGGAAAGAATCCCACGGCATCTCTAAGGTGATAAACAACACGGTGACGTTGAAGGTTTGGTTCAGGATGGAAACCACCATCTGGAGCACTGGTGGTGTTCTCGATGATGCTAGTCTGTCGACTCAAGCTCCACGTGTTGTTCCTGGTGAAGAACACGTTTCTCTCTGTAACCTGCACCTATTCTGCAGACACCTTAG